ACCAAGCTCAAGGGCTTGTTGGAGGTCGTGTCTTCGGCACACGAGTTTGAGATTGTTCCTCTGAGACATCACGAGGACACTCTTCTCGAGAGGATCTATGACCGCGTACCCGTCAAGCTCCAAAACGTCGACTACACCTCTCCCTATTTCAAGACTTTCCTCCTCCTCCAAGCCCACTTCTCGCGTCTCACACTTCCCCCCGACCTCGCCATCGACCAGGCTCTCGTACTCTCAAAGATTACGGGTCTGCTATCAGCATGTGTCGACGTCATGTCGTCCAAGTCGTACTTGGGTTGTTTGGGAGCGATGGACTTGTCGCAGATGTGTGTGCAGGCTGTCTGGGATAGGGACTCGCCCTTGAAGCAAGTGCCCTACTTTGACAGGGATGTTCTCGCGAGATTCAAGGAGAAGAATTTGGACTCGGTGTACGACATTATGGAGTTGGAGGACGATGAGAGGAATGACTTGTTGAGGATGAATGATCGACAACTGTACGTTGCTTCATTGTAAGGTATTCTCTGCTGACCTGTATATAGCGCCCGAGTCGCCAAATTCGTCAACTCGTACCCCAACGTCGAAGTCTCATATTCCGTCGCCAACGCCTCCTCACTCAACGCCTCTGAAAGTGTCGAGCTCAACGTCACGCTTGACCGAGAAGTCGACGAAGACGACCCCGAAGCTGGCCAACAAGCCGACGCTCCCCACTTCCCTCACAAAAAGATGGTCTCTTGGTGGCTCGTCGTTGGTGATGACGCTACAAAGAACCTGTACGCCATCAAAAAGGTCACGATGACCAAGGCAACGGCAAAGGCCAAGCTCGAGTTGCAGCTGCCAGAGGGAGAATGGGCGTTGAAATTATATTTGATCTGTGACAGTTATGCGGGCGCGGACCAGGACTTTGAGCTGGAGAAGCTCAAGGTTGCGGAGGGTGAGAGCTCGGATGAGGATGATAGTGATGATGACGAGGACGAGATGGAGGTGGACAAGTAGATGGTGTCGGTAATCAAAAATTTGAAACGGGTCTTGGAAAACTAAAGTGTAACTGCTATTTTTTATCTCTCTCTCGCCATTATATGCATTGTTCGTTTCCGGAAACCTAACGCTTATTCTATCAAGACAAGTCTCAGACCCGCTCGACAACTCGCGGGCAAGTTTTTAGACTGATTACAAAATGCAAATTACGTGTACGTCCCGCCGATAGCAGCAGGAAAGTACATGTAGTGAGTCTGGCGGAAACATATACAGTAAAGGGAAGAGAGATTGCCCGCCGAGCGAGAGAGATGCATCTGATACAATATACGAAGGCAGGGGTGACTAATTTCTGGATTTCTTGGTGGAGTCAGAGGAAAATTCGACTGCAGGCTCATTAGGTAAGGCGACGCTGGGCAATGTGGCGAATGAACTTACATTACTGTCTCTACAATGTATTCGATGGGAATACGACTGTAGACCAGCTCGGTGCCAAACGCGGCATGATCCCCCCAGGTCTCTCTGTCATACTGGTTCCATGGCACAGCTTCCCCAGATAGACCTGCAGACAGGACGGAAATGGAGGAGAAGCCGGAAGTGGGGTCCAAGCCAGAGATAGTGTTTTCCTCGAAAAGGCGAACATGGAGCTCGTGAAGTCGACATCCTTGCAGGAGGGCTGAGAAAGCAATGTCAGTTCGACTGTATGCCGATATACGTCGGAACTTATCAACAGTTGGACCTCACTTCCGACTTCTCCTCCATCTCCGTCCAGTCCGCAGGTCTATCTGGAAAATCTGTGGCATGGAACCAGTATGACAGAGAGACCTGGCGAGATGATGCCGCGATTGATGGGTCAAGATGGATAGTGATGATGGGAGAAGGAAATTGAGAGGCAGAGGCAAGGGAAAGGCGGGCGGTGACCGCGTGGTTGTCTTGTCGGAAAAAGTCGGAAGTCGGAAGTTGTTGGGTGCGGGTGAACGTGGTGGGGAGGAGGAGAGGGCCCGGGCATGAACAAACGAAGTGAGTGTGGCGGAAATATCAACAGTAAAGGGAACAGAGGTTGGCAGACAGGCGAGAAGGATGCATATATATATTAATATATATATATATCTATAGAATACAACAGACAGCAGAGGCGACTACTTCCTCGATTTTTTGGTGGGGACGGAGGAGGACTCGGCAGGAGGCTCGTGCGCGAAGGAGAGGTTGGGGCGTCGGCGGACGACGGTGGGGCGCTGCGGGGAAGAGGAGGAAGCGGAAGAAGGGAAGTTGCCGACGGAGTGCATGGACTGCAGGATCTGTCCTGCTTCTTGAAGTTCATAGAAGCCATGGCCATCGCACCGTTGTAGCTCCTGTCGTTTTTGCGAAACGCTTTCGCATCTGTGAGTCAGAAAGCAAAGTCAGCTCAACTGTACGGCAACATACGTCGGAACTTACCGGCAGTATCGGCTGTCCAGAGTGTTTTCAGGAGAGGAGGAGGGTCTAGCACTCTCGGTAGGATGACTTTGCCACTCGAACAGCAGGAAGAGAAGACGGCTTCATGAGAGGTAGAGTTTCTGTCGGTGGCTAGACGTTCGCCTGCCCAGTGAAGAGCACCGCATTCCTTGCATACGAAGTTGCAGGGACCGACAGAGTACGGGGGGACATCGCCCTCCGGATGAGACCGAAGGGCAAGGGCAAGAGTATTGATGGGGGATGGTTTGGGAGGACGTCCGCGTTTGTCGACCTTCGTTTCTGGTGCGCCGTAGGGCTTGCCAGTAAGAACAGATTTTGATGGGGCAGATCGAGCGGTGTTGGTCGGGGGGTTTTTTGGAGGACGGCCGCCTTTGTTGACCTTCGGTCGTGGTGCGTCGTGGGGCTGTTTTGATGAGGCAGACGTGACGTCGTTCTGAGCTGTGAGGGAGAAAGCAATGTCAGATCAATTGTACGCAGACATACGCCGGAACTGACCAGGAGTATTGGCTGCAGGGGCGTTTCCCTTGGGATGGGATCGAAGGGCCGAAGGAGTGGTGGTGGGGGGTGGTTTTGGAGGACGGCCGCCTTTGTTGGCTTTCGGTCGTGGTGCGTCGTAGGGCTTTGTTGTAAAAAGGGGTTTGGATGGGGCAGATTTCGGCATTTTGGAGGGAAGAGCCAGGAGGGAGCGAGCGATGGGGCAAGATGATTGGAGGAGGAAATAGAGAGCGAGAGGCGAGCGAAAGGCGAGTGGTGATCCCAGCGGCGTTGAGTGGTTGTCGGGAAGAGTCGGAAGTCGGAAGTTGTTGGGCGCGCGTAAACGTGGTGGGGGGAGTGAAAGGTATGTTTGTATGATGATGTCTGCAGCTGGATACTGTGCATGTAGATAACGATCTGTTGCGAAGAGAGCGCGAAGAGAGCGACGGTGAAAGCGAGCAAAGCCAAAAGAAGAGGAATGACGTGCGGCGGCGATGAGTGGGTGCACGTGGTGGGGGGCGGGGATGAGCGGGTGAACGTGGTGGGGCCCGTGAGGGGAGTGACAGGGATGATGGAATGATGAGCTCTGCAGCTGAATACTGTGCATGTAGTTGACGATCTGGCGCGAAGAGAGCGCGAAGAGAGCGACGATGAAAGAGAGAAAGGTCAAAAGAAGAGAAATGACGCTCGGGGGACCGAGGCAGTACTGGAGAACGTCGCGTCGAGGGCCGTAGGGCTGGAAGATGGATGATGAAACGGCGGCAGTTTCGCGCACGGTAGGGCTTGCAGTTGAGGAGAGGCTTCGAGGCGCTGAGTTATGCGATTTGGGGAAAGTGAGAGAGTGAGAGCGCGAAAAGAACGACGATGAAAGCGAGAAACGGAAAAAGAAGAGGAAGGAGGCGCGGCGGCGATGAGCGACGGGTGGACCCTTGAACCTTATTCAACTTTTTGTCGAGTTCGACATGAGTGGCCTATGCATGCATGGGGAAAGAACGGTACGAGGAGGAAGGCTAAGTTTTCTGGAGTACGACGGGGCAAAAGGTGAAGGGAGGCAAGGGTTGGGGCGAGCGCTGGAAAGTAACGGAAGCAAATGCCGACCGTCAAACCTTATTTTGAGGTTCATTTTCCAGTTCGACATGAGTCGACTATGCATGCATGGGTGAAGAACGGTACGGGCAGGAAGAGATATTTTTTCTGGGGGGGGTCTAGGCTTGAGGCGAAGGGGGGCAAGGGCTAGGGCGAGCGCTGGAAAGGAACGGAAGCAAACGCGTACGTTTGTCTATTCTATGTTTACAATTCGTTCGTCGCCTTGATCGCGTCAGCGAAAGCGTTTGTTCTACACAAAATGAGACTTTGTCCCTCTCTTGAGGAAGTATCGTAGAAAGATTGCATTATCGTTTCCATCGTAGCTTTCAGGCTTGTAGCTCGCGCCCGTCTCGTCCTCTACGTCCACGGCAGCCTCAAACCCAGCCCGCCGTCCGCCTTGATCCCACCTACATCTCGGCCAGCCTTGGCGGTAGGGGTTTTTCCAATACATTTGTTTCGGCAAAGGGTGAGGCCTGAAGGGTGCATAATGTCCCTGGAGGGGTAGGGAAGTCGTCGGAAGTGTGGAAAGTGTTGAAAGATATTCGAGATGACCAACTTTTGATGTCCTCTTTGACCAAGTACGAGGGTTGCCCAAGTCTTTATGATTGACAAGTTGGCGACAATAGCGACGATTGCCCATAGAGACAGGGAATAGCCAACAGGTCAGGATTAGCAAGTGGTACGAGGGCGGCGGAGGGCATGCGAACCTACAGCAACAGCACGAAACGGGGAAGGGACGAGACGCATTGAGTGTTGAAAGCCAAGCCTCAGGGCCCTGGAACCTTGTAGAGAGACAGGACAGTGGATAGCGATTGGAAGAGGATCACTGATGAGATTCTCGCCTAGCGCTCACGCTTCAAATGAGCTTGGATGACGCAGCCGGCGGGAAAGACATATGTACCGCCGACTGATTTGTTAGCTATCTATTCCGCACTCGCCCTGTTGCAGTTCTCTTGTTTTCTATGGAATAAAGCATCGAACATCAACATCCAACATCCTGGTCCACCGATATCGTCATGTCTACCACCGACACCGAATATGCCGTCTCCGAAACGTGGAAAGCCACAGACGGGAAAAGTCCATCCATCAAAGTCATCTCCAGTGACAATGTTGTGTTTCACGTGCCAGAGTATCTTCTCAGGGCACACAGGTAAGCGAGCCCAAAAAGGACATCACTCAACCCATTCAGTGCATATACTGACACCATCGCAGTGCTGTTCTCCGCGCGTTGCTTGAAGATATCCCTCCCCCGACCCTGAGCTCTTCAGACGACGCCCCTACCCCCTTCGAAGACCCCTCCAGGATTTTCGAGCTCACCGATTCCACTCTCGAATCTGCCTCCACCCTCACCTTCTTCCTTTCTGTCATCTCCGGCAAAGACCTCGACATCGCTCTCGAAGAAATCACGACCGAAGACTACGTCCTCACCTTCTACTACGCCATGGCTCTCGCAAAGAAGTGGGACTGTGCCCTGGCGACTCAGGTGCTACGGCTGTGGTTGATGCAGCTGGCGGAAAAGGGCAAAGCACATGCGCACATCAAGCCACTGGATATCTTTTTGATCGCTGCCAAGTACGATTTGCCTGATGTCGCAGCGCGAGTCATCGCAGTCTACAAGGTGGACCAGTCCTGCTTGACGCGTCCTTCCAGCGGTCGCTGGGCGTTCTTGCCGTCAAATAAAGGGTTTGAGACGCAACACTTTGAAAGGTCAGCCTGGCAGGAGACGCCGGGGGCGTATCTACACGCTCTGGCGCTCACACCTGTCTCAGTTGACTTGAACGTGAAATGTGATAGGTGTCGAAACCAAGGTAGAGACTACTACGGTGAGGCCCAATGTAGCTTGAACTCAGGCGAGTTTAAAGCAGGCTTCATACAAGTTAGTTCCTCCAAAAGGGCTGTCCAATTTATCGAACACCTTCAGGTCAAGTACACCAAGTATGAGTAGCGATATGAACCGAATACCCGAGAGTCTACTCTACTCGTACAGTATCTAATGCAGAAGTAAGATACAAGCCTTCGTCTCTTGCTCTTTTGCCCATCACACTTCTGGGCCTCAGTCGCGTATGCATCATGTATAGGTCTGCGCATGATGCGTGTTCGTATTCAAGAATATATAAGCAGCTCATCTCACGAGCATTTTTTCGTTCCAATATCCCCGACCTCCACCATTCTCCTCCATGACCTAATCCTGCTCATCCTCGGGCTTCTTGGTGCCTAGCACAACGCAGTGCTGACCACCAGCAGAAGGCGTAAGCGATTTGTACGGCCGAAGAAGCTACACCACCATCAGTATCCACTCTCCAAAAAACACAACAATGTAACGCACCTTGCTCCTAACCAAACTCGGCACCTCAGCATCCTCCTCGCTTCCCAAGCCCAACTGCCCCTGGTTCCCAAGACCCCACGCATAAAGATGACCAGATTTCGAGACGGCAAGGTTGTGTCGGGTACCAGCAGATATGCTGATGATGGGGTTGTCTTCGGATTTAGAGTCTTTCCAGGCGGGGAACTCGGGGACGACTTCATAAGACTCGGGGATGGGAGGGAAAGCGATCTGAAGGAAAGTATCAGTATAGTTGATGATAGGGTAGGTGATGACTCACTCGGACAGGTTCAGGGACGTATTCACCAGAAGGAGGCAACTTCAAAGCCACCTTGGCCTCTTCCAACTCTTGCTCAGCCTTCGCCTTGTCATCCTCATCCACCTTGTCGCCCTTTTGCAAGATCTCATCAAGCTTCTTCTGCCTCTGCGTCACCTTCTCCTCTCTGTACTCTTGCAGCTCCTGACGACGCTCCTTGATACCTTCTTGAGCGGGGTGATCGGAAGGAAGACCGAGCTCGTTGGCATCACAACGGCCGCAGCCCCATACCTCGCCGTTGTCGAAGAGGAAGAGGGAGTGGTGTTCACCACCCTCGATCTGGATGACCTTGCTGCCGTTGTGGTTCTCGGGGCGAAGGGCGTCGACGGGAGTGGGAGTGATGACCATATCATCGCCATCCGTCACACCAGTCTGCTTGAACGTGTTCAAACCCCAGCCATACACCACACCATCCTTGTCGAGCGCAAACGAGTGGTAGATACCAGTAGCCACATGAATAATGTTCCTCAAGCCCAATCGCTCAGGCTCGAGCCCGTTGATCCTTCGGCGCGAAATGATTCGTCGGCCGAGCTGGTTCTCCTCGCCTTTACCCCAGACGTAGACGTGGCCAGCGGTAGTGACGGCGAGCACGTGGTCGGCGCCGCAGGAAACTTGGGTGATTTGGACTTTGGCGAGGGCGGGGAGGGAGATGGGGGTGAATTGGAATTTGGGGTGGCCGGGCACGCCGTCGAAACCGAGGACGCCGTCATTGGACTGACACCAAGTCAGCTCGGCAGATCACAAAGGGGGTAAGGCTTACTCGGAAAGATCCCCAAGCACGAAGCTCTCCCTTGTCAGAGATGGCGACACTGATACTGTCACCAGCGGCGACCTGAACAGCCCTGAACCCTTCCTTCTCGAGGGTCTCGACGACGAAGGGGTAGGTCTCGAGCTCTTCGTTCTCAATAGCCTTGGAGGGGTCTGAAGGGTCGGGGACGTCGACGGTGATACGACCAAGAGCGGCATTGTCGTTAATACCCCAAGATCTGACCTACCAACGCGTCAGTTGAAATTCTATCGAGAGACTCGGTGCGACTCACTCTTCCACCTTCATCAATAGCGAGAGTGTGCATACCACCACAGTCGACAGACTCGAGCCCACCACCAGGCTTGCCATCCCGACTCAGCTTTCCCTCTTCGCTCTGCTCCTCGAGCCAGGTGTGAATCTTGGGTCTGGCGATTTCCTCGAGGAGGTCGGGGCCAAGACCGAATTGGCCTTGGTCGCCGGTACCCCATACAAAGAGGGCATTGTGGGGCTCAGACACGGCTACCAGTCTGTCAGTATAGCTCTTTGCCCAACGGAAGGTACGCACCAGGGATAGCAGGAATCTGGTTCACCTCCCCCTTCTTGATCTTGCTGCCAGCCGCAGAGCTGACCCTGCCCTTCTTCGCAGGGGGCTCGTGGGCATCAGAGACCTTTCGGCGCTTTTTGTTGCCGTTGACAACAGGTACTGAGGCTTCTGGGACCTTGTCAAGCTTTGAGGCGGCCTTGGGGGCGGCTTTCGAGACGGGTTTGGCAGAGGCAGCTCTGGATGTGGCCTTGGAGGGAGGCTTGGAGCTGGCTCGGGAGGTGGATCCTAGGCTAGTCAGCAGGATTCTCTCTCAAGGGGGGATGCTCACGTCGGGGGGGCATTGTAAACTTTGAAATGGGCGAATTTGAGCGAAGAAAGCTGAAAGAAACTCTCATGTTGTGATGATGTTGATGTTTTCGCTCTAGGATTATGTAACGCGGAGCCAAATGGAGGCCGGCCGCCGATGGATCCAACGCATGAAAACAGCGTCATCCTTCGAAGCAACGTCTCTCATGCATATATTTGGCTGTGGATGATTTGATATACAGACCCGAGTGGATAGAGAACCCTCCGCTACACCCGTGAGTATTCCCATTGCGGACGACGGAGGAATTGAGAAACGCGAAGGCACGTTGGACAGACTGGAATCAAAACGACGATGAGCGTGCTTCGAAAGTATCTGTACCAAGCTGCAAAACGTTTTCCCTGGGTATCACCTGGTCGTGCTTCATCTCTAGCATGGCCTTCACGTAGCCCATCTCCCGCCCAAGCCGCCTATCCCCACGACGACCGGTCGGAACTACTCTCGCATCCTTAAAGCCTACGAGGCATAGACTACCAAGAAGCTGAAGACTGTACAACAGGTATGTAATGCGTGATTTTGATAGGTGCTGAAGACTTCACAACAGTATTCAATAATGCCGAGCTAGCGGAAGAGATGAGATCAGTGAAGGCTACACTGAGAGGAGGGTTCGTATATGAGTAGGGGATGCTCAGTAAATGCAGAGTACACGCAACTCGAATCTGCTATACATTTCTTCTTCTATCGTCCGAAAGCGACAGACATAATTTCGAGTCCTACGTACATGTTACTATTCATTCCTACGCACAATCACTACTCCCACTAATCCGCCTAGGCAAACCTAATAGGGAAATTCGCCAACAAATGTCCATACCTCTCCTGGAACAGCTCTTTCCCGCCCCCGTATCGCACACGATGGAACCATAACCCCGTTCGTGCCCAGTTCGCGGCATCGTTATTGTTCTACAGCCGTGTTAACCCTAACTTTAACCGTAATAGTATAGTCGAAACAAGACTCACGTCGCCTAGTTCGACGACAGCCAAAAGCATCATCGTCATAATGACATCGTCTTCCAGATCATGGCTTTCGTAGACTTTTCTCTTAAGGGACTTTTCTTGAGCGGGTGTCGTGAGCGTGACTCCAGCACATTTGAGGGAAAGCATGAGCGCCTGCGAGATGGTCAGTGGGTTTACTTTATACCACAACATAAAGACAGCCACATACCTCTTTCGCCTTCACCGCCTGCCCCGAGCACAAGTAATTCCTCCCCAACCTATTATAAACGTGCCCCAACTCTGCTTTCGTATCCTCTCTCCTCCCCCTCGCATACGTCCCTTCCACCTCTCGTACCACCCCTTCCAGCCCCACCGCCTTCTGCGCATGCATCACCATAAACTTAGGAGGCACCATAATGCCTTTTTTGCTCATCGTGACCGGAAAGGCGGAAAGCAAGCCGTCGGCGTGAGAATTGATGATCCGCGACCTTGTGTCGCAATCTTCGTCCGGGTGGGTATCGGCTTGACAGACGATACAGGCGCAATCGAAGTTCCAGTTGAGCAGGATCATGTGTCGTTGGGGATAAGATGCGAAACCTGGTGCGTAGCTCGCGAGCAGCTCATTGCCTTTACCGATATGGCGACTGGCACGCATTACCATGGCCTACACTCTGATCAGCCTTGCTCAGCCAGTCTGTGTTGGGGGGGGAGGAATGTACATCACCAAACCAACACTCTGTCATGTTCCCCCAACAGGAATGGTTGAACATCGCCGGCATCCCATGCAACATCGTCTTCTGCCCCCCCACCCTCCCCGCACTTACCGCAGCCGTGAAATCATCCAAAATCTTCTTCTCCAACATCCCTCCAAAGCCCAGGCCCATCGGGGTGACGGAGTGGCCGCCGTAGGAGTTCGTCTTCGAGATTTGGCGAAAGACGTCGAGCCCCATGCTTGGGGGTGGAGAGGTGAAGAGGAGGGTGAGTCGGGTGGACTCGTCTGCTAATTGGGGGAGGTCCCGGGGGGAAGGGACGATGGCGGACGAGAAGCCTTTGAGAACCTCAAGGAGGGAAGGATCATCGTATATCCTGTGCAACATCCGATACACCATCACATACGTCCCATGGGGTACGATGCTCTTCGACTCAAAGTCGTAGCAGTTGACATAGACTCCTGGCGCATCGAGGCCGGGGCAAGTCGGGGCGATGGCTTTGCTGACCATGATGAGTTCGCCAGGGACGATATCCCGAGTCGCCATAACCTCTCTGCCGCGCCCGGCAACTTGGGTGACGTTGCAAGCCGGCGAAACATAGTCCCCAACAGCAATCTCCATCCGTGCGTCCTTCAACGACTCTCGAAAGATCGAGACCCAATCATACTCACCGCTCTCTTGCTCTTTCAACCTCTTCTCCGCTCTCTCCCTCACCATCTTGACAAATCGCGTCATGGTCGATGAAGGCGCAGCGTCATCGCAAGCTTTGATGGCAGTCCGGTAAAGACGAAGGCTGAGCGCGGCTTTTGCGATCTGTAGCTGTATACGATCGTGCATATCTACTGGGATGGTGACGTTGTTGCTGTCGATAACCTCTCCAGCGCGGAGCGCATCGCGATAAGCATGACCGTGCAGGCCAAGTGCTTGATAGGCTTGCGCACGATCGAGGAGGAGGATCATGGTCAGGAAAGCACTGCATGGGGTAGGAGAGAGCGAAGGAGAAGAGACGGGGAGCGACCTTGCGTTATCGTCCAGCGACAGGTCATCACTCTTTCACACCCGCAGCCCAACCAGCCTCACTGGGGTCTCTCTCAGCTCTCAATCGACGTTCATTGATGGCTATAGACTCTACCCTACCTTATTCAGGTATCAGCTTTTGATGCTCATGCATGATGCTTACCTTCTAGAAGGCTGTGGAAAATATACAGCAAGGGGCGGGCGACGCCGCGCCGTCATGGACCAAGGCTGACGGCATGTACACCCGTCGTTCAAACAACCCAAAAGCCTCTCTCTCATACCTCCCTACCGCCCCTCTCCTAAGGCCCATACTGTAAGGGATTATACAGACTGGCTAGTAGGAGGAGGAAATGTTGTGACGTGTACTATGGAACGCAGGGTTCGGCGGTGACTAGGGTTGCCGCTATAGGCGGGATTGCGAGATGAGGTTCCCATATATATACATCGTGCCGCATCTCCGTAACCTTTTCCCCATCGATGTATTCTCGTATTAATCTCATCACCTATATCCATCCTTCATCCATCCAGTCTATTCAAGGTCGACATCTGGCGCCCCTAGTCACTCCTAGGTTACGCCACCTCCACCAAACCCATACACACACAGACCCTTTATACCCGTCTACCCGGACCCTACCATACGCAAACCCCAACAACGCCTTCACCAAAAGATAACGCTGTGCTGACGCTATGCACGGCCGTGCTCGCGCTCGCTTCACCTGCACTCCGCGGTCTATTTGGTTCTGTGCCTGCCGTTGTTTTCCCAAATGCGACGCGTCTCCCCCGGGTATTCCGGCCCGAAACGCGCGCGTTATCAAAGCATGCGCTGGCATAAGGTTTGGCGGGGTTTTGGAAAAATGGCTGAGCGATTTTGGGCGTGGCGAAATCTGATCCCGCTTTCTCCCTAATGAAGGGCGGCCCCCCAGCCAAAAGGCTTCTTCCCACCAAACAACCATCCCCCACCCACCCACCCAAATCCATCCACCAGTGAGTTACCCCCCGCCGTCTGCCCCAGCGCTTGCTTCGACGCGTATTCTCGTGGCACCCCCTCCCCCCTGCCCGTCTGCCACCCTCGACCGATGCATCCACCTCCCGGGGGACGCCTTATCAGCTTGCCCACCCCCAGGCTGCTGGCTGGGTGCTGCTGGGTTGACGCGTCTCGGCAGCCACCGCCCGGCGGTCATGCCTGGTGCTGCCGGTCGTTGCGACGTCGTCGGCGGGTGGATGGGTCGTCCCAGTGGCGAGCGGGGCGTGAAGGGGGGCAGGGTGAAGCGTGGGAAGGGCGGCGGGAATGCATCCCAGCCGCGCGTCATCCTCTCTGCCTGTTCTGCGCGCTCGTCCTTCAACATCCACCCATCCACCCATCACCTCATCCCCCGTCGGTGTGCATACGCGTCAACTGCATCCCATCTCTTATATCTCATTTCGTACTGCATAGGCTGACGCCTACCCTCTCGTAGCAATGCCCAAAGCCGCCGCCGACAAGAAGGAAGTCAAGAAGGCTGCCCCCAAGCAGAAGCGCGAGAAGAAGGACCCCAACAAGCCCAAGCGGTCAGTCTCCCCCTTCGCCCATCCTCGACCCATTCCCATCCCTCACACATCAGCTGACATCTTACACCAGAGCCCTCTCCGCCTACATGTTCTTTGTCCAAGACTACCGAGAGCGCATCAAGACCGAAAACCCCGACGCCTCTTTTGGTGATGTCGGCAAGCTTTTGGGTCTCAAGTGGAAGGAGATGAGCGATAGCGAGAAGGAGGTGTGTCCTTCTTCCTCTCCTTCTCTCTCTTCTCTTTCTTTTCTTTTCTTTCTTGTCTTTCTCGCGCACCGCGATAAGTCGGACCAAAGCTGACATGTGTTTTAGCCCTACAACAAGAAGGCCCTTGCCGACAAGGCTCGTGCCGAAAAGGACAGCGCCGCGTACAAGGCCGACAACCCTCCTGAGAAAAAGTCCAAGAAGGCTGCTCCTAAGGAGTAAGTCCTCTCCTTTCCCTCTCTTCCTTCCCTCCCCCCCCCCCCCCCCCCTCCATCCCTTCCCCCTCCATTCCAA